ATTTTCTTACTGGGATTTCAATAAACTCAATGGAAGATACTTGTGCGTGGCATGGTTCAGAATTTCACTTGGCCACACACAGAGTCCCAGCATTTAGTTCAGGTTGATCAAAGCTGTTGTAATTTTTTAGATAAAGTTGGTTTCATCTGCAGGCTTACAAGAAAATGTTTACTTGCACCAGTCTCAGCTTTGCTGCTACATTTTTACAGGCTTTTGCTGTAGCCTGCATGCTTGGGTGCTTGATTGCTGCTAGAGTGGATATTGACTTTCTGCTGAGACAGACATTGCAAGCTGATGTGTTTTGTTTAACATTTAAAAGCTACTCAGGCAGCCTGAAGTTTGCATCCACCTTGGGAAGGGAGGGACAGAACAGAGGAGCAGGATGGGAGGAAAACGATTTCAGAGAAAAGCAATTGTAAAAAAAAAAAGACAACAACAAAACAAAGCAGTTCTTGTTCAAAGTCAATACATTCAAACCTGTCTCTGAACAATGGAAAACCGGATTTTGAAAGACTTCTAAATAGCTCCCTGTACTGGGGTCAAAGAAGAAAACAATCCCATTCATGGTAGAAGCCCGATCGATAGGAAATCCATATGGGGCAGTGCTTTTTGTGGTGGTTGGCTTTGGCAGTGTTGTGCTTGGCGATGGTAAGAGTCAAATATCTCTGATAGAAGCCTGCGTTTTCAGCATAGAGAAGGGAGAGATGAGCTTCCCAAAGGCTATCAGTGTCATTTAGCAAAACTGTTGTTTTTTTTCCTGGTCTCATTTGGAGCCTAAGCAGGAGAAATTGCAGTAACCAGCTCAGCTGTACCCCTCTTATTCCTGATTGACAAAGCGCTGTTATTCCAGATAATCAGAATCCCAAACGGTAGAGAACTTTCTACGGTTCTGAACAGGAGTATCTTTTTATGTAAAAACAAATATTGCTCTTTGCTACAAGGCAGAGTATCAGTGAAGTTTGGAAAGTACTTCTCTAAAACTTCTTTCTGTAACTAAGATTTGTGAAATAGGTTAGCATGAGTTGCCCTCAAAAATTAACTTGAATAGTAATCAATTCAGTTCTTCAGTGGTACATCAGAGGAAGGGGGAAAAAAGCAAACTGAGGAAAGAAACAAATATCCACTTTGTATGGATTTTAGTAACAGCATTCTCCTTTTCATTTACAGTTTGTTTTAATCCAGTTCTGTTACTTTATATAAGGGAAACGTTCTGATAAGTCCTTCCCATGCTGTGCTGAGATGTTTCAATAAAAGATATGTTGAAGAATGCTGCCCAGGCCCCATCCCGGCTTGAGTCAGTTGATCAGTTTCATACAGATAGTGCTTTTGGATCTGGGGACTCAGCACTCTTTTTTCCATCCAAACCCTTCAGAGAGTAGTAACAGAAAAACAAGACTAGATGTTTATCTTTTTCTTTGCAATGTTAAATTCACCCCTAGAATGGCCCATATTATTCAAATGACAATAAATCTGATTTTTACATTGCATTTAATCAACAGTAAGAGAAAACAGAAGTGTTTTCTTTCTGTGTATCTTGATTCATTTTTATTATAGAAGCTAGAAGGGAGTGGTCAGCTTTCAAACCAAGGTGGCACTGGATACACAGGGACCTTTCCATTAGTTGCTGCTTTTTTCTGCTCCCTGCTTTCCGTTTGCTCCTGGTCTGTAATATACACATCAGCTGCAAAATGTTTCTCTTTTTCAGCCATTGTGCCAAGACAGACCTTGATCCTAGTGATTTATCCTTGGTGATATATCCAAGGTTGGCCTTTTTTTCTTGACTAATCAAGCAGAACTTCTTCCAGGCTCTCGGTAGTTTGAACACTCATTTCAGAAGTTCAGACTTCACAAAAGTAGTTTCTCTGTGCATAAATATACCAAGTGCAGTTGCCAAGACAACTTTTTAGAAATTTTCTTTGAGCCTTGTACTGCTCTAGATTCAGCTTTTCCTGGTTTTTCTTTCCCCTGTTCATCAAGTGCCAAATTCCCACTCTGGGATGTCCCATTCTTTCCATGGGATGCGTGTCAGTTCAGCCTTTCCCTCCCAGCTGTTGCTCCTGTATGTTGGTATGAGCCACTTATTTGAAAAGTTTCCATTTTGCCTCTGTTACACAAGCTTATCACATTATTGTGACTAAAATCACAACATTTCTGCTGACAAAAATGTGAGAAAAATTGCACTAATCCTCTAAGTTTTCATAAAGCAATGCTGGTTTTTATGTCTGTTTGTGTGTGTTTCTTTTGGATGCCAATCTGTTTTTATTCATTATTTCATGTTTTAGTGGGAAACTACTTGGAGGAAAGAAACATCTTCACTTCCATGTTATCCCATTTTGTAGAGAATGCACCAGACTGTGAAAGCTGTCATGACTGTTATGACTGGAGGTCCTTCATGGTGTTAAAAATTAAGACCTTACAGGTTCTTTGAATGAGAAAATGAGTAGCTCAGTTTTCATGTCTCCCTCTTCAAACTGTCCTAGCTTTAATTCTATATTATTAAAATTCAGTCATAGTGAGTACATTAAGTATAGTTAATTCCATTGGAATTTTGATTAAGTGTTTTTAGCCTGCAGATGAAGTTAAATTAAATAATATTGCCATGTGCCAATAATTTTTGTCTTCCAGGATTCTGCCCACAAAGATATTACATTAGAAAGTCAAGGCAGTCACTAGGGTTTAAAGCACATCAATTTGGAAGCGTTTTAACTTGGAAAGAAACAGAAAAAATGAGCTTGAAATGAATCTGTGTCCCAGCCTCACGGAGTTAATTCTTTTTGAGAAGCTGTGTCTGTAGAGTTTCTGTAGTGTTACTTCCAAAGGCAGTTACCAGCCCACCTTTCTGGTTCTTGACTGGTGAAGTGACTGAATTCCTCATTGGATGAGGTTATCAGGAGCCTTGTGGATAAAATTCTGAGAGAATTTATTTCTGTGATGGAATTTGTATGGATTTCTTACCATCACAGGATTGTTTCTGTTATTTATATATACTGTTATGACAATTTATATAAAGAGGGAAATAAGAACAGAACAAAACAGTTCTCTTGTGAAGGGAATTAAAAACTCACTGTGCTAAAGCTCTACATCTCAAAGTAGTCCTGGTCCTGCATCACTTAAGCGATTTGACTGAGTTGACATTAAATTTGTTGGTTAGCTTTTTTTCAACCCTGACAGCAGCACTGAGACTTGGATTTGATCTTTATTTCCCATAACCTTTCTGTCTCTCTGTTACCTTAGTCTGACTTTCCATTGCACTGGCTCTTAATCATTTGTTATTTTTGTTATAATATTAAGAGCCTGCATAGCAGGTAAAGTAACTTGTGCAGAAGGTCTTAATGGCACACTAAGCCGCCTGCTTCACTGAGTTAAGGGAGCTCAATATAAAACAAAATTTGAATTCAGCTAGTTCTGGCCGTGCTCAGAATTCATTAGCTGTTTAAAAATCTTAGTATTAAATAAATTGATGTGGCTTTGAATGTTGATAAGGCTGCAGGCGTAAATGATGTACGTGCAAAACTGCTGGAGTGAAGATAGGCTTAACCTGTTCTGTTTTCTAAGTGTGTTTGCTTTCACAGAGTCTGGATTGACTCCTGAAAGGGAAATTTACCATCAGTACAAAAACCCCAAATATTCTTGCTAATGGGAGACTGCTTATGTTCTTCTCTTAGGCAGCATGTTTTGGTGCTAAAGCACAGCACCTGCACCCAGTAACTGAGCACTTGCTTGGAGCAATACTCTGCTGCTGGTTAGAAAAACACATCAGTCTTTTAGTAGAGGGGTAAGCTTAGCACTTTAAATGGCCAAACTTCTCAAGTACATCACCTGGGTTACGTCCTGTAATACTTCTGTCCATCTAGTAGCAGTTAAACTGTTTAATAACTGAAAGTTCTATATTGTTTTTCTTAGCTAGACACATACCTCCCTATTGAGCTGCATTGCAGTGCATGAAATAGGCCAAGCTGCCACCAAAGGTACCTGGGCTGGCCCTGATGAGATGATAATAGGTTAGATTTAATTGATGGGGCATACTATTCTGAATGACTAAAGTTGGCAGCTTGTTATGTTAGATTGTGCCTTTATCTGTGCTTTCCTGGGCCAGAAGCTATAAAACTCTGGGCTACATCCTTTATTCAGACTTACTGTATATTCCTAATACTATTGAGCTCTAATATCTTGCTGTATGTCAGTGTCATCTCAGCTGCTAGACTCTGGATGCAAGAATTCATTTTGACTGTGTTGCCCTCATATCCTTTGCACAAGGCAAAAATATTTACCAGAGATAGAAAGAGCAGATGCTGAGTAATATATTTGAAAAATGGTCTATAAATACAGATCGCGATTGACTGGAAATGAAATACTGTGATAAAAATTCCATTTGTGAAAAGTGTGATTGTGCCAAGGAGTGCACTGCCTGCTCTAGGGTTTTATACAAGTTATACAGCTTCAGCATTACTTTATTTTTCTTATATTGCTAACTGGAATTTCAGGAAAGTATACTAACGGGTTTGGGGAAAACAGTTATTGTAAAACTATTGCCAGGTTACACAGCTAGACATCATTGTGTGCACTTTACAGCACTGTACTTCTTATGCCATTCTGGATTAGAAAAGCTTTTAAAAAGGAGGAGAAGGTGCCAGATATGGCAAATTCAAGGAAATAAAAAAATAATGGATATATATTTGATTTGGGTTACTGCGAGCTCACATTTCTTGTAGTACAAGATCCACTTTTGAAAGTCTTGCTCTTTCAGTTGACAGTGAAACAGCTCATGGCAGCTTTTAGGCTCTTAGAAAATATCACTCAGCTGCTGGGTGTTCCTGTCATTGTGCTGAGAAATGGGTACACCTTAGGAAGCATCACACTGGGTTTATTATGACTGACACCTATGCCAGCCCTTCAGACAGACTAAGTGTAGTGTCTCTTAAGGACAGCTGAAATATCCAAAGACTAGAGTGAGTGTGAATAGAGACATGGTATCAATGTGATTTTTGTCTGTCATTTAGGCAGGTTCAGAGGCATCTAGAAGCAGTGGAAAAAATAAACAAGAGGAGACAGAGCAGGAAGACTTCACACTGTGGTTCTGGGGCAAGCAGTTCGTGGGCTCTCTGGGCAGCGTACAGCTGGGAAGGTAAGGTGAGCTGAAACTACGTTGAGCAGAAGGGCTCCTGTGTGCTTGGATGACTGTTGTGTTCAGCATGGTATCTCAGAACGCTTAAGCATGCCACAGCATTTTTTGGGCCTGTGGTCACTTGCTGTGCAGCTCAGAACGCAATAGATATCCCCAGCTGGGGACTTCTGTTTTCTTCTTACAGTTTTCTGGAAGTCAAATTTTGTTCAGCGAAGTGTTGTTTGACTGTATTTGACACATGTACCACCCTGGGATCCTTCTTGAGATTGGAAAGGGTTTGGAGGAGTTAGTGGCAAAGTGTGCAGTGAATTCAATGAGTGGGATAGGAGCTCAGACTGATGCTGTGTGTGATGTGAAGAAGCTTTGTAACTGTACAAAGCCACCTTTGAGGAAGGTTAGAAGGTACAAAAGCATTGATCTCTGTGGTGAGGGGTGTTTGGGAACCTCAGAGGTGCACGGGAGACCTCAGTGGAGGTAAGTGTGGAAGGACAAGCAGACCATTGGCTTCAGAGCCTCCACGGTTGTGAAGCAGCTCAAGACTCTGGGTTTTATGAATTTCTGAGAGAAATTCAGTATGGCTTTAAGTAAGATAAATTACAGAGAAAAGCTGAAGTATATTAAAAGACCACTTCTTTCCAAGTGCTGGACATCTTCAGATGCAGACCACTGTGTTGCAACCAGTGCCAGCCAGAGGAGCTGCTGCCTGGCGGCGGTGCCAGCCCATGAGAAAGGGGCGATTCATCCAGAGTGACCTTCCAGTCTTCAGCTGTTTCCTAAATGCGCTCTCCTGAGGTGCTGTTATTTAACTGCAGGCATCAGGGCTTGTTCTCCCGCTGGCTCTGCGGCTGTTGCTCATTGAACAGGTTGGAGCAATCGACGTGGTTCCTACCGGGCTGCTGCTTCAGAAAGGTCATGTACGCCCCAGCAAAGTCTGTCACTCGCCTTTTAAGAACAGTAGGAATCAAATCTTCTCAGTAACTGTGACCAACAAAGCTACGGGAGATGTTTTGCAGCTTAATATTCTATTACAGATCAGAGCCACTGGGAAAACTTTTGAAGTAACATAAGAGAGAAACAAAAAAACTAAATGAAAGGCTCTTCAAGGCTAACGTCTTTTAGCAATCTAGGCTGTCAGTACGCTCACCAAACTTACTTATTCTTTCCTGTATTTGGGAAAAAATGAGGAACTGTTGGGAGCACCAGGTGGTTGCACCAAGCACCCATGAAATGCTCGTGCAAAGAATGGCTTGCCTGTGGGCAGGAGCTGGTTGACATTCAGAGGGGAGGGAAAGAGGGTAAGAGATAAAGACTTAAGAAAGACGACATTTTAGAATTAGGTATGTGCTGTGCATGACTGGATCAAAGGCTGCAGGTTAAACTAAACATGAATACAATTCTGTTAGGGAACTGGTTGTGCTGTATTTGTCACTCTGCATATCTTGCCTATTTCAGGTTTCGTGGTAAAATATAGTCATGGAGCTAGGAAATGAAAGCTTCATTAGTGGCCATTATTGCACTGAATGGGGCATTTCTGTACTCTGTGATATCAAGCATTTGCTTTGTGCTTCAGAAATTACTTTTTCTTCTCTTAATGGGAGTGTGCACTTTTAAAATTGCTTGAAGTGAGAACGACACCAGAGATTAGTTTAACCAAAGTTTGTCAGCCATGTGCATTGTGTAATTCACAGGTACCACATGCTGCAGGATGGTGAAAAATACCCAGAAATTGCAATAACTGTATGCTAATTTTGTATCATCATAAATTGGACTCTTTTCCTCTGTTGAAAAATGTACCTTAAAGAGATGAAGCGCAACTAAGTGGGGCTTACATCTGAATTTTCATTGCCATCTCTGAGCAGCTGTGAATGTGTGTAAAAGAATTAGACACATCTAAGCAATTGTTAGGTTATTTTGATTTGCTCAGTGTGATTTTTCAGAAGACAAGATGCCTGATGTTGCTGGGTAACGCAGTACACAACCCTGCAGAAATCCGGAGTGGCTGCTGGTGGCTCTTGCTTAATGTGATTGATATACTGTAATTTTCATGCTCTAGGGGAAGTGGGGCTTTCATTTAGTTTTGGGGGAAGGATAAAAATGAGTCTCTAAGTGATTACTTTTTGCCTCAGTGTTGCTCCCTTTGTGACATAGGACATTTAGAGGTGGATAGAAATAACTTCTATTTTCTTTTGAATTCATAAATCAATTAATTTTTTTTTAACTAGCCTTCCTTTTTTAAACACATAAATCACAATGCCTAGCATTTATTATTCACCCTTTTCCACTCATTTTAAGACTTGATCTCTAATAAATTCTTGCAGCTTTTAAAACCATAAGGGAATGTAAATGGCAGCTTGGTACTTGTGGTGCTAACTGTTGTGTTGGAGTCCTGTAGAGAAGCTGAAACTGCAATGTGGGTTGGTCCCATCCAGAACCCTGTGGCATCCATTACACACTGGCAGATTGTCCCCTCTCTGCCACAGCAACCCCAAGCCAGAAGCAGGAGCTGTGAACTTTAAAATACGTGAACCTTGCCCTGCAGTGCCAAAGCCTTTCCATGCATCTCAAGCAAATGGAAGCTTTTTCCTCCAGACATAAAATGGTCTCTAAGCACTATAGCAACCAAAATTCAGCTTTGCATCATCCTAATAGCAGTTTTTAAGCACTTCTTAACAAGATCAATTCATCTCAAAGAAAGTGACAAGGTTTTGAGCCCAGTCACTAACAGCAGGCATGTCATGAGCACGTTGCTTATTTCTGCTTACTGCTCATTTGAATCTGCCTTTCATTGCATGTTTGACTTAGGTGCTCTCATCTCCTTTGTAGAGGAGCTCTATAGAGCTTTTTAGCACCTGATATTTTCTCCCTGCAGAGGTGTACCGCAGCCCTATGGCTGCCTGGTTTTCCTTGTGACAGCCTAAATACTGAGCACCTTAATCTCTAGGTGTCATGCAATGGCAGTGTGCAATGGCAGTTCATCGTGGAAGGGAATCTCACGTTAAAAATGAGAATGCCAAGAGAGGAGGGAGGAGTTAATGCCTCTGTAATGCATTAAGGTGGGCCAGGCATCTCATGATTTGCATTCATGCTAACAACTTGCCTTGTAAATAATCTTTAATAGAGCAGGGCAAACCACAGCGTTCGCTTGACTGGCAGGCAGCCAACTGTTGTATTGGCTGACAAACATGAAATAGTGCAGTAAGCAATGCAAGTAGATCACCACTGTCTGGATTTATGCACTCGCATGGAGTGTGTTTTTTTGTGTTTATTTGTGTGACAATTGGGATGACAGAATTGAATGAGAGAGTTCAGTTCCTTAACAATTAAGGATTAGTGGTGGATAAATATAGAAACATGCTGCTCGTGTGGGTGTTCCTGGACTGTAGAAGGGATATGCAAAATGAGAAAAGAGATAAAGCAGTGCAGGTTTGTCATCCACTGGCTTGTTGCCCAAGGAGATACCTAGTTGCAGCTTCCCTAACAATGATTGTGCTTAAACAAGGAACATGTCTGTCTTGGCTAATTTATGTTTAGTTCATTTTTAAAAAGTAAAATAATACTTGCAGTATCGAATGTGTATTTTTGATACGTGGATATCAGGTAGGAATACAAATTACCTTTCTCTTCCTCTTCTTACAGATCAATATTCTAGATACGAAGATTTACTAAAATGTCCTCCATCTTCCAGGTATCTTGAGGACAGCTGGGAAATGGAGGAAGTCTGTTCCTATTAGTAATTTTCAGCAACTTGGTCAGCCATTTTTGTTAGGAATGGTAGAGATTTCAAGTTGTGTGCCACCTATTTTAGGTTTGAGGGTGCAAGACATCAAAGGTTACACTTAAAAAGTTTCCAGAACTGCGATGTGCCCCTGTTTTGCTGAGAGCAATACCCACGGATCCTGCCCTTGCACTCAGCAAATTGATTTAATTCTAAGAATTGAGCAAACTATTACAAATGTTAGTTGATGAGCAGTAATGGCTATCTTTGCTGAAACAAGAGAATATAGAAAATCTTTCCCTCTTGTTCACTCTCATCTTTTCCTTTGGCTTCCACTCCCTCAATGGCTTTCCTGTGCTTGTCCCTGTGCTCTCATGGCCTCCAGTGTCTTACTGGAGGATAGGAAGGGAGCTTGCTGCTTGCCAAAAGCTGCTACTGCAGCGAGGACTAGTAACCACATTCAGTGAGGGTTCTCCAGAAATATGCCTTTAAAAAAACAACAGGTAAGCAAGATTGCAGAGAAAGACAAAGTTAAGGCCAAATTAATCACATCAGTAGGCTTTTCGTGGAATACTAAATATTTATGTTCGTTGTTAGCACGGGCATCGCATTATGCACCATTTGTCTTAATATAAATATCAAAGTGCCTGGCATGGCATTACTCACGATGTATAAGCTGCCAGAGCGTGTCGCTGTAAATTACTCATACTGTTGCAATCTCAATAATTAATGGATAAGTTAAGTAAATAAATAAATAATTCAAAAAAGACTTTTATTCCTGAGTCAGGAGCAATTTTATATACTATCAAGCCGGTCACAGAGTGAGACCCTAACAAAGTTCCCCAGCTAGTTTTATGTGGTCTTTTACTCTTGCAGTCTTTTAATACTGTCTTGAAAGATGCTTTTTGTATGTTTTCCTAAAACATCCTTGTAGTTTAAGATGACATATCCGTCGCACAGACAATGAAGTCTATGTTTTTAGATCCTTAGGGAAAATTTCTTCTGCAACAGTAACAGCAGCCCTTGTTGCCACTATTCTTTACTTGGGGCAGGTGATATTTCAGAGATTAACTTTGAGTCTGTCCTTCCCGTGCATCCCAAAACCTACACTGGGGCAGTCTGTAAAGAGCACTTAAGTGATGGCCAATGACATGTTCTTATTGCCTGGGGATTAGTATGGCTTGGCAAGGCAAATTTGTTTCTTCAGGAAAGCAAAGGAACTAACCTATGTGGTGCAATGGTGGAGTGTAGAACAGCTGAGCACAGGATGTAATAAAATG